TTGGTTCGGTCTAATATATATATATATATATATATATATATATGTCAAAATCCTAGATCTAAAAGAACAAATAAGAGCTTATCACATGACAATGTGCAAATGATTTTAAATGCATGTGAAAACTGAAAAGAGGAGGGAAGGAAGTGTGTGAAAAAGAATGAGAAAGTGCTAAATAAAACGTTAAACGTTAAATGTTAAAAAGTAAAAACATATAAATAAAAAATTAAGGATATTTTAGGACTTTTTAAAAAAAAGGACATGAAGTGTATATATCATGAGCCATGTCCATCATGTAAGTAATAATATTGTAATTCTATAGCCAAATTCAGAACTCAAGAGAACTTTCAAGGGTCAACCAAAGTCTAGCAGGATTAGAACAAAGATGGACATTAGAGAACAACATAATCGTGTAAAAAATTGTTCCTATTGTCACACCCCTGGTCACACTAGGAAGACATATTCAAATATTGGTCATGAATTCAGTTTCCGCTACCATTGATCTTTATCGTTGTAATGAATTTTAATAAATTTATTTAGTTATATTTATAATGTTAATATTCAATAAATTTAATCACTTGATGGTAGTATCTGAGTTTTGGTATTTGATAAGTGAAAATCAATTTTTTATTATGGCCAGAACGGCCCGTTCCGGATACAGAATGACCATTTTGGTTCCATTTTTTATGTGCTAATTTTGATTTTGGAACGGCCCGTTCTGATTCGTTTTCCATGTGTTATTTTTTAATCCGGAACGGCCTGTTCTGATTTCAGAACGGTCCGCTCCCAACGTAAACAATAAATGATATTAGTTGAAAAAATAAATTTGCACAGTTGCTATTTGGGTAAATTTTTTAAAATAGTATTATTTGAGTAAAAAACTCCCTAATAAAACAATAACAATTAAAATGTATTAAAAACATTATGTCTTATAATTTTTAATATATATATATATATATATTTTTTTTCTTCTATTTTTAATTCTTTAACTATGATATTGAATTTGTTTAAGAAAAATACTTGCACATAAATACCCATATATTCACATACATATAAAATTCAATTAATAATTAATAAATATTTTAAAAATAAAAAATATATACGTTAAAAAGCTAACTTCGAATAAGAAGTTTTATTTTCTATTTTTTCTTTGGACAACTCAATATTATTTGAAATAATTTTTAATTAAATTTTGAATAAATGAGAAATCTTATTGCTTTGTTTTATTCAAAATTAATTTTATAATTAAATAAATCATGAGTAAATTCTTGAATGATTTATTTATTTTTAAGTAGATATTAGTGTTTCTAGAATTCTTACCGTAATTATAGTATATATATTTATCAAATTGTTAAATATTATTTAATTGATAGTTATAAAAAATATTAAAAATGTTTCTTTTCTATTACATTAAAAAAATACTGATTTTTCTTTTAAAAAAATCATATTAAATGTGGTAATTTTATTTTATTCATTAAACAAAGACAACACAACATTATAAAAAAAGATAGACAAAGACAATACAATGGATGAATTTATTTATTATAAAAAGGCAATACAATGAATAACATAAATGACCATCAGTTTCTATATAATATCTTATCATGCTAAATGTACAATATAGAAAATTTAAAGCTTAATAAATGCAATCGAATTAAATTCATTAAAGAAATAGTGCATATGCGGCCAAGCGATTCAAACCACCAGACACAACTTTTAGAAGGAAAAAAACTAAAAATAAAGAAAAAGAAAAACTTTGTAATTAGAAAATATAATTCTACATAGAAAATAAAATTTACAATTAATAAATACAAACCTGAAAAAAAAGTAAAAAATAATAGCAAAATTAAAATTTCATCATCTTCTTTCTTCTCTCTCTACCGTTACTCATCAGATTCAGGAGTCATTACTCTCTTCCGCTTGGTTTGTGCTCTCTAACCATTTCCATTCAGTGCGTGACATCACATTCACATTACACATTTTTTTTATTTTTTTTATTTTTTATTCTTGTTTTGTGATAGTGATATTAGTGATACACATTTTATTTTATTTTATTTATTTATTATTTTAATTTTAATTTTGCATGAACTTAAAAAACAGAGACAAATCCAAATACCCTTGTGTATGTAGGTATTGAGGCACTTTGATTCTGTTCTCTGTAAGATTAAAAATTGAAGAGAGGGAAAGTTGGGTTCTTTTTGAATTGGGGTTGTGGGTTTTGTTTTTAAGGATTCGTGAAGAAGAGGGAAAAAGGAATGAGGTGGGAAAAGGTGAAGGGAATAGGAGAAGGACCAGGGAAGAGGTGGGGCCACACGTGTAACGCCGTTAAAGGTGGCAGGCTTCTTTATATCTTCGGCGGTTACGGCAAACTTAACTGCCAGACCAACCAAGTTCATGTCTTGGACACTTGTAAGTTTTCTTTGAGAATATTCATTTTCATTCTAACTATTCAAGATTTTGTTTTCTTTCTTCTTGTTGTTGTTAAATTTGTTTGCATTGTCATTTTCTATTTCTTACTGTGCAAGGTGATGCATGGTGGGGTGTTGTTATGGATGGGCTTGGTTGGTATCCGTGCTTTTTGCTGTTTCTTTATGTTTTCATTTTTTTATCTGTTGATTTATATTATATTTGTTATTGGGTCCCTTGTCCTTCTTGAATCTAGATGATCTGATGCTCACTATTAGAGTATTGGGGATTCCGTTATCTTTGGACTGAGCCAGAAAATTTTTCTATTTATTATTATTAATTTTCTGAACATTGGCGGTTAGAATTATAATTTTTTTTTTGTTTTGAGAATGTGGGAATGGGGATGAGGATTTTTTATTATACAATGATACTAGGCCTAAATCCCTATTACTAGGCCAACTCTAGTAAGTTTGAGATAGTAACTTTTTTTATTTTATTTATTATTCGTAGAAATTATAACGATGATAACATAAGACTATGTGCATACTACCTAATCCCTCCACAGACTAGGCTAACATAGTGGTTCTTGGGATGGTTTTGTGTTTGATGGCGTTGAATGGTGTATGAATTTATTTTAGAGGTGTTACATTTTTTAAAAATGTTTTTATGAATGTATTCTGTTACTATCTCTGGCAAGTTAATGTGGAGCTATTTTATGATTCATGTTTGGTGATTTGCAGTGAGGCAGAGTTGGGGTGAACCAGAAATTAATGGACCTCCACCTACCCCTAGGGACAGCCATAGTTGCACTGTTGTTGGTGATAATCTGTTTGTGTTTGGAGGTACAGATGGGACCAATCTGCTGAAGGATTTGTGCATACTAGACACTTGTGAGTTATTATTCTAATGTTATTTGCCTAATTTACACACATATAAGATATATATCTCTGAAATATTGGAGTTTAGGTGATCTACTTGTGTACACTACAGTAATTGTTTCACTTGATGGTACTCACTGTTGATAAACTATTTTAGCTTCACATACATGGATTTGTCCAACTGTGAGAGGAGAAGCACCAGAGGCACGTGAGGGTCATGCTGCAGCACTTGTTGGCAAAAGACTGTTTGTGTTTGGTGGTTGTGGGAGATCTGCTGATAACATTAATGAGGTGTACTACAATGACCTTTACATATTGAATACAGGTGACTTTTCTTTATCACAGTACCGTTTATTCATGTTGTTAATTCACTTTGCAATTTGTACCCTTCACCATTTATATGAGATCTCACTTATGTTGATAAAGTGTGACGAAATTGTTGAAGATTTCTTATCTTAATTATTATTTTCTGACACATTAGATTGGGCTTTGAATGGTCACACTACATGACTTGGCTCTAGAGGCTCATTTTAATTTCAGTGGTGAATGAAATGACCTTTTATCTGTTGAGTTTAGACTGCTAAATGGATGAACTATGTAGTTTGTCTCCTATTTTCTCCCTTCTATGTATTTACATTTGCATTAGAACTTTTAGTTTTTGATTAATGTATAAGATGAGAAAGATGCTTATAATTGCCTTTCACCTTTCCACTTGTAGAGACGTTTGTTTGGAATCGTGCTACAACATCAGGCACTTCACCATCTCCTCGTGATAGCCATTCTTGCTCGTCTTGGAAAAACAAAATTATTGTGATAGGTGGTGAAGATGAACGTGACTATTATCTGTCTGATGTCCATATCCTAGATACTGGTATTTGTTGTATCTTTTTTGTAAGTGTTACATTTATGGTACAAGTATCAGAGTATAATTTTCTCTGGAACTTCTGTAAATGCAGATACTCTAATTTGGAGAGAACTGTCTACGTCAGGCCAATCATTGCCACCTCGAGCCGGTCATTCTACGGTTTCTTTTGGCAAGAACTTGTTTGTCTTTGGGGGCTTTACAGATGCTCAAAGCCTATACAATGACCTGTATATGCTTGACATTGGTATGTAATATAAATGCCAGCATATAAGTTTCATAAACACAGAAGTAGGAGCTAAAACCTTTTCATTATACTAGTTTGTAGTAAATTTATTTATTGTTTGCTGTTCGTGTTTTAATATTTGTTTGTGTCTTTTATATTATTTTTCATTTCTGATTGAAAGCAGAGACTGGTGTGTGGACGAAGGTGATGACTGCTCCTAATGGTCCTTCTGCTAGATTTTCTGTAGCTGGTGACTGCTTAGACCCATGTATGAGTGGTGTTCTTGTGTTTATTGGTGGATGCAGTAGAAGTCTGGAGGGCATAGATGATATGTATTACCTATACACAGGTTCAGCAAATAGTCTTTTTTTTTTGTTATTAAATTTACCGAGGAACATTTTGATTCTAGTATTTCTGCAGATTATCAAGTATGTGACAGAATTGTGTTTTTGATATATTTCTGACTTTTAGGGATTGCACGGGAAAATGAACGGAGACCAGATAAGTTATCCTTGAGGAAGCAATTGAAGCTGAAATGTCTTGAACAGAATCTCAATCTTGTCCCAAACCCAGTTCTGTGTGGATATGGAGTGGGTGCTGATAGCAACCAGCCCATGGCAATCTTGAACTATAATAGCCCACTAAGTGAGAACCTGCCTATATATGAACTTTTTGATGAATATAATAAAATCTTAAACTGTTTCTGAAACAATATATTTTTTGTCTGTCATTCTTGTTGTATTGGTTTTATTAACTTCCTCAAATGTATATGGCAGCTTATATTACATGTTCTCTTGTGGTAAAGCATTTTTTCTGGTCTTCTAATGATTTGGGCCATTTGAGTATATAATGTTAATGTATTGAGAATTGGTGTTTTTTATCTGTACTTAAGTTAGTGTTAGTGTTGAATCTGTTCTTCTAACTAGTTTGTGTTAAATTTGATACATGTACTGTAGTTGTGGCAAGTTGATAACTAGAGTTATATAACTAATAAAAATGTAGACCATTTATGAGCCAGGAAAATTAAAAGAATGGAAAATGATCTTTGATAATTCATGTTCAAAGTGGGAATCTAATATCCAGCATCATGATTACAGGTAGACTAAATAGTCCAGTATGTCAATCCTTGCCTCCTGGAAAGAAAATCTTTCAAGCCAATGTTACGGAAAGAAACTCAGCAGGATATCGTATTGAAACCGTCATTGATGGAAAGCCTCTTCATGGAATTCTGTTTTTAAACAAGCCACACACTCTTAATCCAGTTACTAATACTTCCAGTAGGTATGTCTTCTCCCCACCTTTTCTTTCTCTTTACAATTTGTTACTACCATGAATCTCCCTATTGTTGAACAGATTGATTTGAACTGAACGATTGATTCTCAAAACAGGAAAAGGGCTTCTGCTGATATTGGGAGTGTTGTTTCAAATGGTATAAATTCAAACAATTTGACAACTTCTAAAGTGCTCAAGCAGGAGACAATTGAAGATAGACAGGAATTACAGGGAGGAGACAGTTCAGAATCTCGTGAACGCCACAAGGAAGCTGATACCACTGTCATATCAAGTACCCCGACAACTGCTGCTGAGTCCTTTAAGGTCAAGTAGTTTTTTGTTCATTTTACTTCTGTTAAATAGAGTTCTACTGTTCTAGACACCGGCTTGATTGGTGGCTCTAAAATTTTATCTGGAGGCACCTGCAGGGATTAATTATAATAGACAGTTTTAGTGTAAAAGAAATTTATTACAGAAGGTTTCAGTTGAGTTTTTGTTATGTACCGGATCAGAATTATAAGAAAATGGGTTTGCACCTCCCAATTGGCCAAAACTCTTCTCAATTAACCCCCCCCCCCCCTCTCAATCCTTCCTCCTATTTATATGCATCATCAACCACTTGACTCACTGAATTAGGCTCCTTGAAAAATGGTGTTCTGTTTCCTATAGAAGATTATTTATTTATTTATTTTTCTGTATTATGAGTGCAATCGTGAGATTCATGTCTACAACCCAACCTGAAGTGTTGCTCCTTTGAGATATAATTTGTCACGATGTAATTTATTTGATAACTTTGTATCTTTAATTCTTTATCGACAATATTTCTGTTTCTGCTTGTTAAATTATATTTACTATTTCACTTCTATACTGTGATCTCACAAGATAACATTAGTTTCCAAATAAGGGATCATTTCTTTGGCTCTAGTTGTGTATGTGAATGAAAAGTCACCATATAGTTGGTGTACATAAATCTAATCCCAATTTTAATCGATTTTGATAGAAACTTGGTATCTTATTAGAAAGAATAAGGGATTTCTCCCCCAATACAATGCTTACCTGGCAGAACATTGCACCTCCAATGTCCAAAGGCCTCAATTCGCTCACAATTGAGGAGATGAAATCCCTCTCAATGCCTCTCCCTATTTATTTACAACTACTGGTCTGCTAACATAAGTCACCCTCAATGGGCCTAATCAGTTGCAGGCCCGTTAACATAACTGCATTGTATTTCTTAGACTAACATAACTAACTACTAAATGGGGGTTACCTAACATACCCTCCTAGCATTCACCTTGTTCTCAAGGTGATTAGCAATTGTCGCTGCAAACAAGATTCCATCTAGGTTCCATCCAGTTGAAGCAGCTCAAAATAGCCTTCCCTCCATGACTCCACTTGGATCAAACACAAACATGTCAATGCCCTCATGCTTCTCTAATGCTCTTTATTCTAAAGTACTTTTGTCCATGAAATAAATCATCGGAGCCTCTGTAGTTATAATGAGAAAACCTATGATAAGGAGTAAGGACTTGGGTAGTATTGTGGTGCCTTGGAGTAGTATGGGATGCTCTATGGAGCATTTAAGCACTTGGTTCTCCCCCTCTCCCCTAATAGCTAGCTTTTAAGGGAGGGTTCCCCAAGTGCTTAGGCTTTTATCAATTGGTATCAGAGCTAGTTGTTGGCGTTTCAAAATGGGTTATCTACAGTGGGGCTGATCATAACAGCTGAGTGAAGTGTTGTGTCAGATGTCAGCTCACTTGGGGGCAATGCTATGATAGAGACTTGTGTATTATGTGGTTGCTAAGGCTGGGATGCTTGGTTGAGCATTTCAGTTCTCGGTTCTTCCTTCTAAACATCTAGCTTTTACGGGGAGGATTCCCCAAGTACTAAGGGTCTTAGGGTCCTATTTAGATACATGCTAGAATTGCTTTTGGGAGTTTTTTTTTTATCGGAAAAAGTTCTTTATTTTCTTAGGTGCTTATCAGAGTTATCGAGTCCCAGTTGGTTTTTGATGTTCCCAAATGTTATGGATAACTAACTAATAAAGAGTATTCCTGGAAAAGTGATGTGTCTTTTTTTAAGGTTTCTTTCTTACATATCCATGACATCCCTGCAGGTTTCCGTCAACCAAGAACCACAAGCTGTTTCTTCGAATCGAAATGAAGAAGAAAATGTGACAACGAAATCCTTAGTTGAGAACTTGAAAACCGATGCACCCAATGATGTGGCAAGTTCCAAAGGTGAAGTTCAATTAAAATAATAATCTAATACTCTAATTTGATTCTTATATATAGGTCCAGAGGTAATAATATTGTAAGAAATTTAGTTAGTTTGAGAATCATATGATATACTACTTATTTATAAAGTAGCTATTTTGTTTACTGGAAATGAAAAATCTTATACAGTGATGCGGCACTGTATTGTTTACTGATACTGTAAAGAGTTTTGCTTACGGAGGATTGCATTTAATTAAACTCTTGTAAATAAGTAGTAGAGAGACATCTAACATGACAATGGTTTGAGTTAAGATTATCTAATAGAGGGTAGTTACAAAGAGGTGAACTGAAACCAATGGAATTGAATAAAATATTGTGCAAGTTTTTATCACGTTTCTTGTTATATGAAATGCATCCTAATAATCTTATTGTTCCCTTGAATACAGGTGTAACAGGGGATTGCTCAACTCCAAGGACAGAATGCACAGTGAACCGGCAAAATTAACTTGAACTCAGGTGTTTGTACATTCCTCGTCTGAAGGTGACAACAGATGCACATATCAGTTTAATACAAAGGTGCTAACTGGTGGGATATACTGTTACCTAGATATGCCTTGATCATAAATTTGTTGAGCAAAACCATTTTTACCTTAGGTGTAGGTAGTTTTAGTACTCTGTCCGAAACTAGTGAGATTTTTGGACACTAAACAGTCCTTATTCATTGCAAGGAGAAATGATTTTGTTAAGAGGTTGACTGTAGTTTCCAACTTTTTACTTTTTCCCCTTGTTTTGTGGGTATCATCAATAGAGGAATCTTGCTTTCATTTATCTTCTTGTCTTAGTAGTTAGTAATTTTGAGGCGTTTTTGTTTGTCCATTTGGCGAGATATATGTTCGAATTATGAGTTTATTTGAATATAAATTATGAGTACTTTTGAAAGTTTTTCTATTAAAAATTATTAGTAGGTAAGTTTTCTAAAATGTTTCTAAGTTGGTATTCAAATAGATTCTATATTATAAGTGCTCAATTTTGCTTTACCATGTGACTCATCTCGATGTTATTCTGTCTCAGGAATATTAGAAACACATTTTTTGACACTTTTTTCGATGGGCTTTTTTTATTGGATGAAATTTATGTGAGCCACTAAAATATGAGCCTCATTTCTCATTTGATGATTGTCTTGAAAGATTTTTAGGGATTCCAAAGACTTGATCGACTAATTGTTTTGAAATGATCTTAATTAACATGCAAGTGTATGGAGAGAATCCTTTCAAGCGTAACAAATAATCATTCTTAGATTGTTGTTAGATGCTCTACTTTATTTAATAAAATGTTAAATTAGAAGATTCTGGATTTGTACCAGTAAGAATAATTGTTTCATATTAGAACTATTTATTGAAAGTCAGTTCATGTTCCTAACAAAACTGATGGAAGTTGTCTTGCGTCGATTTTGTTTTATTTAAATCTTTACCAAAGAAAAAACGAAAGAAATTCATTTGTCTTTGATTTTTTCCCCAACAATATCAACCAGAATTTTGGTAGCAATACATATGAATCACAACAAATGAGACTGCAAGCTACTAATTTGAAGGTAAAAAATAAAGTTAAGCAATCTCATAGTCAGCTTATGTATATTAAAACTATCAAAACTATTCTAAAAATGGGCTTTAATAAAATTATTTTGTAGTTAAATACATAATATATTTTTGAAATAAAGTAGATATTATAAAAATTATCTGACAACTAAACTACTATATTTCTTTATAGCTCTGGCTAGATACTATGTTTAAAAAAAATGAAAAAGTTCTATCTCGAGTTTTAGTGGACAAATAGTTTTTCAAATTTAGAAAAATAAAATGAAAGGTGTATTTTTGATAATTTTTGACGGAATACATATTAGTCCTTTTTTTAACGGGACATATTAATCTTTTAAGATTGTGAAGAAGGTATAAATATTTATAGTTTTATTTTATATCAGTAAGAGATATATTATGTGTTTCTATTATTTTAAAAAAAAAATACTGGAAGAGAGGAATTGTGTAAGAAGGTGATTTATTTTAACTAGCAGAAAATAGGCATTTCGTGTCTGCATTGTATTAAAAAAATTAAAAGAAAAACAATGAGAAGTTACTCATAAAAAAATAGTTATTAAAAAATAAATAAAAGATAAAATGATTCATGTAAAAATGAGAACCAAAAGTAATTATTGTAAAAATGATTTATTAGTTTCAAATTCTTAAATTTGATTAAAAATATTTTTTCTAATTTTTTAACATAAAAGGGTATAATGGTCTAAAAAAGTGGAGAACAAGGTAGTTACCAAAAAGGGTATTCTCTTTATATAATAGTATAAATAAAGTAAAAATTTAGATTAGGGTAAAACATTACCAATTCTTTTAAGAATTTCCTTAAATAAAGAATAGTGATGAAATTTTTTGTTGGTTTAAAGTAAGAGTTATATTTGAAGTCAGTTTGTTTACCCTTAAAATGCATTATATAAAAAACCTTTCTTATAAAATTATTTTTTTTAAGAAGCAAATAAATTTTTCTTTAAAAAAAAAACCCACCTACTTTGAAAATAAGCACAGAATAGTATAAAACTTCTTATTCTATTAAAAAAACATTTTTTTTTCAAGAAATAAGTTTAAACAAGTAAGTCCAATTTCTATGCGGTTTGAGAAGTACTTATTGCTACATTGTTAGTATAAAAGTTATAAATAAATATTACAAAGAGATATCTTATTAATGAAGAAGGTATGACACTAACTCATGACTCTTATTCAAATACAAAAACATGTAAATATTCTTTAAAACAATTTATTTATTTTTATTATGAATATATCATATTAATTTTTTATTTTTATTTTTAAACCAACAATATTTTTATTAAAAAACACTTTATTTATCCAATAATATAAATGCAGAGGAGGGTTTATTTTATTTTATTTTATTTTATCTTATTTTTATCATATATTACTAATAATATTTACTAATAATAATAATAAAAAAAAAACCTCAGAAACACAAGACCCGGTAACGGTTCCATTCTCAGATGCGCTTGGGCTATTGCCTTTTTCCGACAATAATCTGTTTTCACTCCCTAACCCAAATTCTTCTCCTTCTCCTTTTCCTTCGTCTTCTCTTCTCACTTCTCACTCATCACTCGTCACTCTTCACGCGCAATAACCATAACAATTCCGCCATTCCAATGTGCTTCTCCCCCAAACATAACCCCCTTCTTCCCTAGCTAGGGTTTATCTCTCACTATCCTCACTCCCAACAAAACCCTACCCTCATTATCCGCGCCCTTCGATTCTTCTCCTCGGTAATCGACCCAAATTGAAATATATAGAGTAAGTCGAATTGGTTACGAAATGTATCACCGTTTCTCGAGTGTATTTGATTTGCTGTTGTTTCTTTTATTGAAGATTTTCGAATCAAATCTATCTATCTCACTAGTTCAGCTAGATGGTGTCATCGTGTTATAGTAACTTGTTGGTTCTGGTCTGAATTGCTTATTGCTTATGCTGTTGTTCAGGTTGGGTGGAGAAACAGTGAGTATTGTTTGGGTTGATTGCTGGTTTTAGTTGAATGTAAAGTTTGCATTGGAAGCATGTATAATCAAGTGAATCGTGGTTCTCATTTCGGGCAGAGTTCTGTGCCTCAGGGGCTTCCACCACCGCCGCCTCCGCTGCCGTATCAGCAGGCTCCGCCGCATTTCCATCAATTCCCGCCACATAACATTGGTGGTCCTCCTCCACCACCACCACCTCCAGCAGCAGCTAACATTGGTGGTCCACCACCACCACCACCACCACCTCATGTGTATTTGCATGGACCTCCTCCTCCACCTCCACCTACTTCGTCAGTTCAAGGTTCACTTAATGTGATGCCAAATACCGGACAATCCTATGCTATCCCTTCTCAATTGCACCATGGGAATACCATGGCGCCACTCACATCTTGGCCTCCTGGGCCACCAACTAGAGTATTGCCGCCACCACCACGGCCACCTCCCTCGTCTTCCCAAGGACAAATTTTGTATAACCCTCCTTTCCATCCGCCTCCTCCACAGCCTGGTGATGTTCAGAATCTGCATAATGCTCCTCCACCGCCACCCCCTTCCATGTATTTCCATTCAACTGTTGGGAATTACCAAGTGCCTTCCATTGTTCCCCCACCACTACCATCATCTCCACCACCAGTTTTGCCGGCTCCGCCACCTCCTATCCCTCCCATAACCTCTGCATCGTCAAATGATGCACGTGCTGATGACCCTAACTCTTTGAAGGTGCCTGGCTTGCAATTGAAGGCTGTGGATTCGGTTGACAGGGTTGTAGCTTCTCATCCATCTGGTGTTTTGCATGAATGTGGTTCTGATTCTAATTTGGATGGTGCAAGTGTTAGAGAGGTTGCAGGTGCTGACAGAGATGAGGATCTTCCCCCGCCCAAGCCAACAGAAGAGAAAACTTTGCAGAAGATGGAAGCTTTGTGTCAGCGTATTGCTGAGACAGGTGCTGAAATTGAAGATAAGATTCGTCAAGATGAATTTCAGAATCCTGAATATGCATTTTTGTTTGGTGGAGACCCGGGAACTGAAGCAGCAGTTTCTCACACTTATTTCCTTTGGATGAAAAAGAAATATAATTTGGATACTGGATGGCATGAAAAGAAAGGGAAATCTGAGACTGAATACTCATCAGGGAAACAGTATCATCTGCATGTTGCAACTGTAAATACCGATTCTGACATGGAAATGGAAGGTTAGTTTTCTTTGTTACGATCCTGGCATTGGAATATATTTTGAAGCTATCTCTTTTATTAATACTCATGATAATTGATATTTAACCTTTTTTATGTTGAGGTATTAAATTATGGGATCTGTGATTTTGGTTCAGCATTGGTTTGAGTCTTTGTTATGTATTCATAATACGAAAAGTCTTTATAATTTATGCTGGATTTGGATGTGTTCTAAAGTGCAGGGTGCACACCTTTTGATGGAAAAGCTGTAGTTTTGACTTTTGAGTGTTATAAAATACCAGTACTTGGATAACAAATCATGGACATGTGAGAACCCAAATCTTTGTTTTTGTGTCACATGTTGCCACATGCTCTTTACAGAGTAAAGAAGACTGTTTAGTTGATATAATTTCTCTATCATTAGCCTTAAGGTTGAATATCTCAGGTGTTCTGTTCTGATATCCTGTTTTACAAAGAAGACTGTTGAGCCTGATCTGCTTTATTTTATTTGTCTATGGATGGGTTAAGATGATATCACCCTTTCTGAAAAGGACCAAGGTTCAAATTATGCAACTGAGGCCCCAACTCAGCAACATAATCAGGATGATGACGTGTTTAGCGTGAATCAGAATATACAGCAGCTGCATAATTTAACAGAAAATGACCCTGCCAAGGACATCTCATCCTGCAGTGCTTCATACTTTGGATCCACTGGAGTCAGCAAAAAAAATGAAGGTTTCATTTCAGAAAAACTTCTGTTCTTTATGTTTGGTTGATTTTGGAATTACTTGTTTGATTAGAATTTCCTTTTGAAAGGTCAGTCAGTTTTTCTTTACTCAATCAAGTTAGTAATGCTGGTGATTGATATTTGTCAAAATTAGAGACACATGCAATTTTCTATTACTGTGAAAGTTTTAGCACTGCAATTCAGCACTAGTTCTTCAGTGCTGAATAAATTAGGTATTTAATATAGAGTGTTTGAAAAATTATCTTCTGACTTTAAAATTGAATCTGACTTTGATAGTTTGACGATTGACTTAAGAAACTTTAAGTTAGACTTATAGAAACCAGACAGAAGTCCTGTAAATTGATTGAGTGGGAGCATGATTGTCAAACTCGAGTGTTAACTTGTCAAAATGCAGAGTTTATGAGTGCAGTAACACTAACCTGTTCAACTCATAAGCAAAATCGTTTTTGAGTAAGTAAACTCAAGCAAGCTCGACTAGGATCACATGTAATTGCGATTTTAGATGCAATTGTACGCATCTATGTGGGCCAAAAAAAAATCTTCCAAAACGAGGGTGCAAGGTGCGTTTTGCATTTAGCGGTTTTTTTCACCTTTAAGACAGAGAATTAGGGTCTTTTTCACCATGCAATCTGAAGTGGAATTTGCATTTGTGCATGTGTCTGCAGTCATGGTGGCCGTTGTATGCTTGCAATTATGCTTTGTGAGTGTTGCATTGAAACTTTCACGTTGGGATTTAACTGTGTGCATCTGTGGCTTTATTGCTCAGTGTTGGGGTTCTCATGGCTGTAGTCGTGTCTTGTGAATGCTGTAGCCTCGCTGAAGATTCAGAATTTCCCTTTACCCTTTTTACTAAACTTTGAAATACACAAATAGCAATCCCCTTCTTCTCTATTTACCGAATCATTATTTATTTATTTATTTATTTTATTCAACCTGGAAATACGCTAATTAATGATGATACTATAATTGTTTTTACTGCATACAGTAATTATTTTATTAATTAGTGATATACTAGTAAATTTTGCTATTTTATTGAAGTAGTTTATTATTTTTCTTTATTATGGAGTTGGAATATTGTGATGTTATGTTATTTGTAAGCATTTTAATATAGTTTTTATATTAAGTAAATTCTTACGGGTTTATGATTCAAGTTTATGGAGCCTACATGAGTTTAAACTCTTGAGTTTGACTCCCTTGAGTGGGAGCACTCAGCATCCTTTGAATTTACAGCCATAAAAAAATAAATACATTTTATATTTATACTGACAATGATAAGAAACTAAATTATTTACTATAACTATAATCTTTCCGGTAATACATTAACTCCCATACATTAACTATTCCCAACAGATTGTATGCAAGGTTGTCAATCTCGAGAGTTTACGTAATCTCGTGGAGGCTCCGTAAACTCGTATCGTAAACTCGTCTCGTAAACTCGTAAGAGATTACTCAATAATAAATAAATAAATAAATAAATAAAAATAACATAATAATTGAATATTTTAACTCCCAAATAGCAAATTACATTAATAATAAATGTTCTTAACACAAATTTAAGATCAAAAGTTCACACAAATGACAAAACACAAGTTCTTAAAAATAGACAAATAAAAAACTAAGACATCACATGAGTAACGGAGGTGAGGAGCAGTGGTGCGGCGCGGAGGAGGTGTTGCGCTCGCGGTGGCGAGGCGCGCGGAGGAACGGAGGTGAGGAGCGGTGGTGTCGCGCGGAGGAGGTGTTGCGCGCGGAGGTGGTGTGCGCGGAGGAGGTGTGTCGCACGCAGAGGAGGTGTGTCGCGCGTGGAGGTGTGTCGCGCGCGGAGGTGTGTCGCGCAGAGGAGGTGTCGCGCGCGGAGGTGGTGTCGCGCAGAGGAGGTGGTTGAGGCGCGGAGGTGAGGAACGGAGGTCAGGAGCTGAGGTGAGGCGTGGAGAAGAGAAAAGAGTCGTGAAAGAGGCGCTGCGGAGGTTAGAGGAGAAAAGGAGACAAAGTGCCCTAACCCACAACACAAAAAGTGCGTTTTGTGTAAGTGAAAAAAAAAATGGTGAACTCTTAATATCGGAGGTAGTCTCGCGAGTTTACACGAGTTTACCCGAGTTTACCGAGATTGCTCCGAGTTCACTAAAAAACGAGTTTACCTCCGAGTTGTACAGGTAAGCTCTTGTAAACTCGTAAACTCATACGAGTTTACGAGTTGTCACTAGAGATTGACAACCATGATTGTATGCACTGAATGCAGAAATTATTCATCATACAAAATTTCATCTAATATCCATTATAGGATATTTTTTTGTTAATTTCTTTCATATCATTAAATAATTTAAAAATGTTTGTGGTGAATAACAGTATTTCACCTTGTATTCATTGGAAAAGAGGATAGTAATATAATTGTTTTTGCAGAAACGTAGCAAGTCATTGTTCATGATCACTGCATGTTGATTACTTGCTGTTTTTTCATTGAATGCTTTCAGAAGTAATTACCTTTTGTGTTGTTTTTATGTAACCCTATCTGAATTCAGAAGTGATATATATTAAGAGTCCACTCTGTTATTTAATGTCAAATTCATTCTAGGTTTACTTTGATATATTGCTCTATTTAAAGGATTTTGTTTGTGTTAATAAGTCTCTTTAATAAAATACAGGACCAGAGATTTTATCTGATTCAGAGCACATGAAATCTACAATACCAGTTACCAAGGGTGGTAGTCCTGTAAATGACTCCACTAAAGTTGCCGAATTACCCCTGGGCACAGCTTTGGAGAGATCTGCAGCTCTTGTAGAGAATGATTTCACACACACTAGTACTTCTGATCACAATGAAACCACTATTCCCGATAGAGATCATGGGCTACTCATAAGGAGTGGCAGCCCAATACGACTTCTTCAAGATTATGCTTCTGATGACACTTCAGATAATGAAAATGAAGGCAATGCTGCAGATGTTAATGTTTTCACGGTTTCAGGAGGTGCTGACACTGGTGCTTCAGCTGCCCATATAGATTCTGGGAGTTATATGGAGACTGATATCAGATCTAAGATTTCATCCAGTGCCCAAAAGGGATTAGGGCCACTCTCCAGAACATCACGGGATGATTCAGAAATATCTCCACATTTATTACAAGAGTCTAAGGAAACCCGTAAGAAATCTGTCTCACGTTGGACTAGTGATGGATGCATTGAGCATAACCTTGAAAATCAGGTGTCTGTTAATTTTGCTGCTTCGATAGAAGCTTTCAAAAGCAAAGATGCATTAGAGGGTGCTGGCATTGACTGTGGTAGTAAAAGTGTTAATGCTGGAAAGCAAGATGAGGGAAAAACCTCAAAAGTTGAACCAAATGTTCTGAAAGTAGATGAATTTGGAAGACATCTCCGAGAAGGTCTTACAGATAGTGATTCTGATGATTCACGCTATCAGCGCACAAGGAGAATAAAGAAAAGAGATAGAAGCCGGAGTCACAGCCGGTCTCCTGACCGGAGGAGTAGGAGGAATAGGAGGAGTCCCCGGAGGAGAAAGGATAAAAGAAACAGGTCCCGCAGGTATGTACCGCACTTGTGCAGTGCATTGTAGGATGTCCTTAGTTACATACTGCAAATCTTGTCCCCAAACAAATAATTTGTATTAGGATGCTCAAGTCTAACTTTTCTAGGTTATTTGTTGTATGAATTGAACATAAAACCTCCCTCCTGCTAGTGAGGATCAGTTGTCTTTCTTTACATTTTGGAATTTGGCTCTTGCTTTCCTATAATTATATCTGAAGAATACTACATTGAAATTTTCAATTTTTGTTGGTTTCAGCTGGTCCCCTAGGCACCGAAGGAGCAGGAGTAGGTCTCCAATCTTAAGACGTTCAGGTGACTTTCGTGGTGAGAATGTGAAAAGGAACAAGGATCAGTGCTTGGACTTCCTTCGAGGAAAGTGCTATCGAGGAGCTTCTTGCAAGTACAGTCACCATGAATCTGACATGAATGCTACTTCAAGGCGGTATCATAGGAATAAACATGATCTGGAAGTCAATTCTCATGCAAAAGCATCTAAGATTAATGGAGATACAAAGAATATTTCTTCTGAAGTGTTGGATAATGAGCGTGATGGAGTCAAAAGTCAGGATGGGGATATTTGTCAGAATGTAACTATCCAGGAAGTAGTACAGAAAAAAGAAGATTCAGGGAGGCATGCTGTTGCGTCAACTACCATACATATCGATGATCAATCAGTTAATAGCAATCTAATTAAATCTGAATGTATCAGAGAGGTTGCTCCTGAAATGCAGGAAACTTCAATCCATGAAAATGATAGCTTTCAGAAAGCAGGGGTTTCTCATCAGCAACACTTGGTTGACAGCTTTCACCCTGAAGCTTTAGACAGTGGTGATACTTCTAAACAATCTAGTGCATATCCAGATGTCATTCCATCAGAAGATGGCCCATTTGTTCAGCAAATGCGACTCAATGTTTCAGCTGTTGGAATTCCGGAACATTCTGGTTACCCATCTCAGCATGTAAATGTATCCTTTGTGACTGGTTCGTTGCCTGATAAAAGATCAACTGTTTCTGCTAGTGCTAATGAAGTTCCTGGTAGTGAACCTCTACCACACATGTTACCATCAACTCAGCTACAGTCAGCCACTAATTCTGTTGGTCAATGTGTCACATCAGAGCAAACTTCATTGCACTCTCAGGCTTCTAGAGAATTACCTCCACTGAGTGGTTCTATAGTGGAATTACCACTTCATTCTTACCAGTTGCCTGCTTCTGTTGTCTCAAATTCACAGGGTGATGCTGTGCATATGACACAAATTTCGAGGCAGTGTGGTGTGATGCAACAAAGTGCATTCTTTCCTTTCCAATCCACTACCAGAGAAAAGTTTGAACCTTACCCAGCTCCATTACATACACAGAATGCTCACTTCAATGTACCACCTAATAGCTCTAGGACATCCTTGCCACTACCACCGCCACCACCACCACCACCACCATCAAGAGCGGTGCATAATTCCAGTTTAAACTCAGGAGTTGCAAAATCATATATTTCTTCCGAATTCAATCAGAGTCAATTGCATTCGAGGGCTGACTTTGTTTCTCAGAATTCTGAGTTTAAGGATCAAGCATACCCTCCAATGCAGGACCATTCACGATCATTCATGCTTACAGAACCTTTCTCTCCAAAGCATCTCCCTCAAGGGAACCCAGCTAGTCAATTACTTTCAGGCTCTAATCTCAACAGAGAAGACTTTCATAATCAACTTTCGATGCCGGACTCAAAATTTTCATGTAATACATCATTTGGCAGCCTGCAGCCTCAACCAAATCAATTTTCCTGGAAGTTGGATGTGAACAGACTGCAACCTCCTCTGGGTGACAAGTTGCCTCCTGAAGGACATTTTCTGACATCTTCCCACGTTGATTCATTATCACAGAAGCAACAATCAATGTATAATTTCCAATGTTCTGTATCTGAGGCTAATTTGGGTGCGCCTGGGGAGACTGCTACTGTTTCCAGATTTCCACCTGATTTTCTGGATAACAATCATTCAATTTCTATTCCATCTTTTGGGGGATCAAGAATATCTGCTCACTATAATCCTTATGCATCAACCTTTGAGAAACCACTTAGTTCCAAATTCAGTTCAAGTATTTTTAGACAGGAAAATGAAGTTATCCCTGGTAACAATTATGCTTCTTCTAGATTGAACCATACTCCTGTAAATGGGGAAGGTGATGGTGGGGTTGGGTCAAGACAGTCAGCATCCTCATCAAAATCAGCTAGAGCCCTTGGTCAGATGTTACCTAGGTCTGGTGGTGACCAATATGACCCACTTTTTGATAGCATTGAACCATCATCCTCTCTGAAAAAAAATGATTTTGATCAGAAGCAGGAAGTTACAGGTGAATCCAACATCAGTCTAAGGCCCAAAAGTTCTTACATGTCTCTGGATGCAGATGATAACAAGCATGAGGAGGTTGGGGCTGTTGCCTCTACCACTTCTCAGAATAATGATGAATATGGTGAGACAGCAGGTGCAGAAGATTGTGCTGATGAAAATGAGAGTGTAAGCGATCAAGTGGATGCTGCAAAAATGACTACAGGGGATGTTGAGATTAATCAGGTCAAGTCTCCAGGGAAAAGAAAAAAGAGTAAGGATTCCAGATCGATGAAATTGTTCAAAGTTTCCATTGCGAACTTTGTAAAGGAGGTTTTGAAACCATCATGGCGGCAAGGTAATATGAGCAAGGTGGCTTTCAAAACCATTGTAAAGAAGACTGTGGATAAAGTGTCAGGAGCCATGAAAGGCCATCGTGTACCCAAGTCCCAAGCAAAGATAAGTCAATATATTGATTCATCACAGCGAAAGTTGACTAAACTTGTGATGGTAAATGATTTTCTCATCACTTATTTGTATTTTTGTTTCCCTCATCAGATTTAAGTTGGTAGCTGCTATTTGTTTGGTTTTGTGTTTTTGCATCCTTACGTGAAGCTGTGCTGTGAATTAACAAAGCTATGCATTTTATAAACAAATCTCTGTTCTGTGAAAATGACGAGAGGCTTGACACAAAGACTTCCCCTTTTGTCTTGGAATATTAGCGTATTTAAATGGAAAAGAAAAATTCTTTGTAACTTGTTTGAAAGGAACTATTTTGATTTTAACTGCACTTTTAATGTTTCCTTTCCTTGAGTGATTTTAACTGAAGTAGCTTCTGTGCTGAACTGTTACTGGTTACATATATCCAAAACTCGAGTTTGTCTACTTGTGTCTGTAAGACAGATTTTAGAGTATCTATTGAACTTCATTAGTGGTCTCTCATCCAATGATTCTTTTTAATTGCAAGGAATTATCTTTTTCTTTCATTTTTTATAAAGTAATTGGAGATGGGAAAGCACTATATATTAGTTTTTTTACCAAAAAAATTATAGAATATTGACCAGACTTGGAAAGTTGATTCAAGGATAACAATATGCCTAAGCGTTAATATTCAAATTGCTTTTAGTGATGTTCCATTCCCTACATTTTTTGCAGGGTTATGTTGACAAGTATGTCAAGGTATGAAAGTGAAGCCAATGTTTCTCCATCATTCAATGTCAATAGGTGCTGCATTTCTACTGGAAACACCTGTGCTTCCCTGGAGTTGTCAATCAAAGGCGTACCAGATAGGTGCAAGAATGATTGATCAACACTCCAGTTCCTGAAGAATTTTTGGTCGTCCCCAAATATGTATGTATTGTATTTTCTTCTTGTTATTATTGTGATTTTCTTTTAATTTATAGTTCCCACTCCCATGTTATATATTAGCATTTCTAAGTGGTTTACCCATGAATGTTGCAAAGTTGGAATTAGTTCTCTTTTTATTGTTTTTACGATAGAAGCAAGTAAAAAAAAAAAATTCTATAAGAAAACAGTAATTTTTTTTTTTGGTGCATAAATTTTTTTCTTTTTAATGTTCCAAAGCATCTCGTGGGTTGGCAGACTTACTACTGGCCTCATCAAATATCTTCCCCAAACCATGGAAATGAAGAATTGCAGAGATGCTGTTATCAAACTTGTTTGTAATCGTGGAGGATTGATGATGGTATCATATACTCATTAGTTATACTGCAAAATGACATTGGTCGTTTATTTTATCTTACTTTGCGGAAATTGGCATTCTATTGCTAGGGCGGGGGATTTGAACCAAACCTGAGCTTGTTACTTAACTGGCAATGTCACTTGTCTTGTCTTTGCTGTGTACAGTGCACAAGAATTTAGCTTGCGTGTGAAAATTTCTCTGAAGGAAATATTTCCTGTAACCTTTTCTTTCCCAGTTCGGGTAACAAGATGTTTCTGGTTTTATTTTCCAAAATGAATATGACATAAGAGTAGTGCAATAATAATGATATGCATATTGCATCTTCATAATTAAAGTCTATATGGGGTTTTCGATATTAATATCTTTCTCACATGTGCTTTCCCACATGTCACATTTAGTATGAAATTAAATTTGTCCCATTAATTCTTAAGTTTGAAAATCCTTTTGGAATAAGAATTAATTTCATGACTATGTGAAAATATAAAATAATTAAATTTTTTTAATCATGTTATTGATGCGAAATATTTATTGGTTCCATCTATCTTTAATCTCTATTGAAGAATATGAATAACTGGCATGAGAGATTTCTTCCTCTAATCATGTATTTTTACATATAAGACTTGAACATGAGACTATGCTTAAGAGGATCAAATCTAATACTATTTGATTAACTTGTTAGTTAAAATAATTAGCGAGTCGCTTTAAATTTTATATTTTGAACTTCACCTTATATTAAGTGATTCCATTCCCATTTTTCAAATGTAGTTGTCCTCACACCACTATCATCATGGTTTTTACTATAACAGTAATTGTCATTTGAAATTAGATGTCATAGTTATTAGTGTTCCCATAACTTTTATTGATGTCATCACAATTTGAACTAATAAATAATTAGATAAGATACTAAACTTGATTTTCATGATTCAGTTGTATTAAATCAATATTAATATTTTGATAAAAAAATTGTAGCCATTTATTGATAAAAAAATGGTATTAATAAAATACTACTAGTATTAGTAATAATTAAATGGCACATAAAATAATAATAATAATAATAATAAAATATTATCATAATTTTATAATCTTAAATATAGGTTTTTCGTATTTAATT